AGGTGAAGTGTGTAGGAGGGCTAGTGAGGCGAAGTGTGTAGGCGGATCAGTGAGGTGAAGTGTGTAGGAGGGCTAGTGAGGCGAAGTGTGTAGGCGGATCAGTAAGGTGAAGTGTGTAGGCGGATCATTGAGGTGAAGTGTGTAGGCGGATCAGTGAGGTGAAGTGTGTAGGAGGGCTAGTGAGGCGAAGTGTGTAGGCGGATCAGTGAGGTGAAGTGTGTAGGAGGATCGGTGAGGCGAAGTGTGTAGGCGGATCAGTGAGGTGAAGTGTGTAGGAGGGCTAGTGAGGCGAAGTGTGTAGGCGGATGAGTGAGGTGAAGTGTGTAGGAGGATCGGTGAGAGGAGTCAATAGCCAACGTGATGTATAACAAATATACACACACGTCGATATAGATCTTATACACCCCTCACAAGAAATACATACATTACACTGCTATCTAATGGTGCTAACAAGTCACATCTCCGCATCACCATACACACACGTCACACCTCAATACCATGCATGCCATTCATACATCCACGTCACATGTGCATGAGACAAATATACACATCATATCATCAAGCTGTATATACAGCTGTTTCGCATTTAATATTAGTTATGCATAGAGCTACTACAGATATTATATCAAGCTTTTCAAAATGTCATGTACAGCTACATACAGATTGTTGTCCCCATGAGCGTAATGCACCCGTCCACTTTCGCGACACTTTCAATTTGATCTATTTGGAAATAGTTGAGCGTGTCGAAATGTATTCAGTTGGAACGATATCTTGACACTTTTTGGATTTTCCGAATGTGCCATCAATGTCCACTACGAAGCGTATTTTGTGGCACTGTTTCCGAGAGTTTTCATGAATGAACGTACGGAACGACTGCACGACCAGGTCACTCAAAATGAACAGTTCCAACACAATCATTCGAAAACTCCGTACGGCCAGAAACATTCACTATGTGAACAAGAACATTTCCATATTGATGTTCAGCGTAAAAGGATGTATGTAAATCACGTTTGACTTTTCTAAGTCAGAAGGTAACCTTGCCCTTAGTATGAAGTCTATAGCACGCAAGCAGACTCGAGTTTGTGAATTTTTGAATTATATAGGGTCATATGTTAACTTTCCGTCTTTGGCGAACTCTCCGATTTGGATTGCACAGCCAAGATACCGGCGGTGCGAGTGACAGACTGTTCGTCCGAGATTCAACGCCCGGGGCAGTTACTGTTTAAGTTGTATTACAGTTGTCCTGCGTACACACAACGGGGCGCTTGGATTATTACCATTAATTGAAAAAGTTATAAAATAAAGATCATGAGTGTTGCTGCTGCCATGTCTGCTCACACAATATCAGGAACATTTGGGTTATGGAATGCCTGGAAATAGCAGCAATGCCGATGTATGGACAAATATCAATGCGCGACCAGATTTGCAACCGGTTTGGGTTTGGTCTGATTAACGAACGAAATTGTCATTTATTTACACTTAAATACGTATTTAACATGTGTAACATAGAAATACCACACCCATTCTCGTTTGATATCATTTTGATTCACCAACGTGTATCATTCTTTATATACATGAACGTCACAAGTCCATGTCAAACTTGGACGTCGTACCACACTGCCATACATACACACGTATGTGTGTCTCCACTCACTCACTTTTAAGCTGAAATGTCCCTTGTCGTTAACCGATTTGTTCAATGCTTGTCAGGTGTTTTTTTTTACCCAATATTAGCGACGTATCGTGTACAAAACGTATCGTATGCATGTTTATGAGGAGTTTATATAAGCACGAAATGATATATCAAGTTATTAATAAGCGCGTAAGTGGAATATGACGTATGTTTCAGGCATTTAAACGCGTGGAGTTTGATATATGGTTCAGGCATTAAATGGAGTGGGCGTACAAACGTGGCAACCAATACGACAAATGGATGAAGTAAATGTCACATCTATTTCAATTAGAACTTTCCTGTCCACATAAAAGTTTACTTCACAGAAACAAAGTGTATAGGTTGCGTCTATCCATAGTTGATTGTAGTTACAGGTATATAGTTGATATAGCGTTGTTGTTCTCCGAACACAGCGCCGTGATGGAATATACTCACGTTCAAAATTTAAGGAACATTGACCCATTGCCGAATACTTGTGTTTTTGTGTTTTGAACAATTCATATACTCATATATATCAACAAAATATGCCCCTGGAAGAACCGTAGAATGTAGTGTGTGCACGTGGTTCCAACGCAGAGGTCACAATTTAGGCAAAAGGTCACGAAGAGAAATGGATGGGCGACCTGTTTCGACAAGTCGAACTTCTACGGATTCCTTCCTGCCAAACTTGAAAAAATAGTGGTCGTGCATGGGATTATAGACACCATGAGAGTGACGAGTAGCCATGTAATTAGATTGAGGTCGTCCCAGTTATCTTGATTTAATAATACGGGGGGCGATCACCGGCCCTTCAGCTTAGATTTATCTGGCCACGGCTGCGGATCCGGTTACGCCGCCTTGACCTTTCACAAAATGAGCCTGCATCCCACAAGTCAACACTGCCATGCTGTGGTGCCTATGATGTGAGTCCAATGGGTTGGTTGTGTGAATTACAGTTTTACCACAGACATGTCAGATACTCCACAGCTTCATTACAGTTATACCACAGACATGTCAGATACTCCACAGCTACATTACAGTTATTCCACAGCCATGTCAGATATTCCACAGCTACATTACAGCTATACCACAGCTATGTCAGATACTCCACAGTTACATTACAGCTATACCACAGCTATGTCAGATACTCCAAAGCTGCATTACAGTTATGCAACAGCCATGTCAGATACTCCACAGCTACATTACAGTTATACCACAGCTATGTCAGATACTCCACAGCTATATTACAGTTATATCAGAGCCATGGTAGATACTCCACAGCTCTATTACAGTTTTACCACAGCCTTGTCAGATACTCCACAGCTATATTACAGTTATACCACAGACATGTCAGATACTCCACAGCTTCATTACAGTTATACCACAGCCATGGTAGATACTCCACAGCTGCATTACAGTTATACCACAGCCATGTCAGATACTCCACAGCTACATTACAGTTATACCACAGCCATGTCAGATACTCCACAGCTACATTACAGTTATACCACAGCCATGTCAGATAATCCTTAGCTACATTACAGTTATACCACAGCCATGTCAGATACTCCACAGCTTCAGTACAGTTATACCACAGCCATGTCAGATACTCCACAGCTACATTACAGTTATACCACAGCCATGTCAGATACTCCACAGCTTCATTACAGTTATACCACAGCCATGTCAGATACTCCACAACTACATTACAGTTATACCACAGCCATGTCAGATACTCCACAGCTACATTACAGTTATACCACAGCCATGTCAGATACTCCACAGCTACATTACGGTTATATCAGAGCCATGTCAGATACTCCACAGCTACATTACAGTTATACCACAGCCATGTCAGATACTCCACAGCTATATTACAGTTATACCACAGCCATGTCAGATACTCCACAGCTACATTACAGTTATACCACAGCCATGTCAGATACTCCACAGCTACATTACAGTTATACCACAGCCATGTCAGATACTCCACAGCTACATTACAGTTATATCAGAGCCATGTCAGATGCTCAAAAGCTACATTACAGTTATACCACAGCTATGTCAGATACTCCACAGCTACATTACAGTTATACCACAGCTATGTCAGATACTCCACAGCTTCAGTACAGTTATACCACAAACATGTCAGATACCCCACAGCAACATTACAGTTATACCACAGCCATTTCAGATAGTCCACAGCTGCATTACAGTTATACCACATCGATGTCAGATACTCCACAGCTGCATTACAGTTATGCCACAGCCATGTCAGATACTCCACAGTTACAACACAGCGAAGTCACAGCTATACCACGCAACCTCATGGGTACCATCATATGTTTATCAGGAGGCTTAGAATCACATACTTCTCACTCATTTGACACTATTAGGGTTAAACCGGTGTCCAACAACTATTTGTGTTGCCCCCTAAGCCAGAGGTATTCGAACGCTCCTTTAATGTGTGCCTGGCCGTTCTATACCACTCACAAGAAGTGAAGGACCACCGATTCTTTCGCATTTCGATAGATAATATGTCATGCCCAGTTAAGACTACAGAAATGTGTGACGTTACTTGAGTTAATCTGTCATGCCAGGACAGTGTATAGTAATATCGTGCTCCTAAGCGTTTTTGAGTAGTGTAATATATATATTAACTCTGGAAACCCATTTGTCCAGAAACTATCCATGCTGTGGCCAGTCTCTGTCAAAGGTATTTACAAAATGGAACATGCTGTTCTTATGGGTACATATAAAAGGAAGAAAAGGTGTAAAACATCTTTTTTGAAAACTCAAAATTTAAACTATGTCGCGCATGGGCGGGCCCAGGGCAAAGTGTGGCCATGGGCGAGAATATTTGTCAAAGAACTAGGTTCCCTGAAAACTTTAACAGGGTTACATAATACACAACCACGGAATGGAATGGAATGTATCTCCATAAATGACGAACCGAAACCGAATTTAGCATGAGAGTTATAATGACATGATTCCATTTTCCATCATTTATCATCCACGATTACCCCCACAACACAGTGACTAAACAATACAAACAATTGGAACAAACTGTAATTATATTCGTCATTCCGGCCACATTAAAAGCTTATTATCGAATTGATTACACAACCCTTCCTTGTGTGTGCCAACGTTTCTAAAAGAAGCACAACCTACGCCTGACGTGCTTCACCCGTGGAACAATTAGAACAATTTCACCAGTGTTGGAAATACCAAAGGGAACAGGTTCAGTGTAACCTTTGCAATACACCGCATAGATAACGCGTCATTGTACCAATAATTGCATACCATCTCTTCAACTTCGAAAACACCGTAATTATTTGTCAAATGGCCATGACATCCTGTTGTGGTGTCAGAATGGTATATAAAGCGGCCTATTGGCACTCATCATCACTTGTGTCTATGGCAAGCAAACTGAACATTCTTTTCGAACGGGTTTGAGGTAAATATTTTAATTTTTCGTTTCAATTTCCAGGTTTGATCAAATTATTTTTTCAGGTAGTCAAGGATGTATCTGTGTATAACAAATCACCGGTTGCAATGATACGTTGCTACGCTACTGCTAAATCATAAGATCTAAAGAACATATAACACTCAAGTACTCCTCTATTGTGACATATGAAATATTAAGGGAATCGGTTCAAACACTTTAATGCCGTGGTAAGTAACGAGCAGTAGGACATGCCGTGCAGTGTAGGAGTGCCCCTACCATATGCAAATGGGTTTTGTTCACACATTCAGTAGCGATTGTGTCCACCTCGTGCATTGATACAGGACCGACACCTTCGCAATTAACCCGTTCTACTCAGCACCCGCTTAAGAGTGAGTGATTGAGTTTGGTTTTACGCTGCTTTGAACAGTATTCCAGTTATATCACGGCGTGTCAGTTGAATGTGGGAGGAAAACCTGACGTGTTGCAAGTCTTAGACGTTTATCGCTTTGGTTAACGCAGCTTACGATCAGCAATAAATAGTGTCGGTGACATATTCGTCGGTATGGAAAGATAAAAGTTGGCTAGTCCTGATCAATACGATCTGGCAATTTTCAATTGGACGAATGCTTTTTTCAAACCCCAAATATCATTTACCAGGAAAGCTGAGGTAGGCGCCTTGATGTAAAAGTGTTTGATTAATAAATGCGTCAAAACCCTCACCACAATCATACGAAATCTTTGCTAAACGCATGGTACGTTGTACGATTCCGACTATGTCTTGAGCTTGTACGTCTGAGACCTGCATTACTTCGGGCATTCCTCCCACATTAAGCTGTGAGTGAGTGAGTGAGTGAGTGAGTTGGGTTTAACGTCACTTTTAACAGTATTCCAGTCATATCGCGGCGTGTCAGCTTAATGTGGGAGGAAAGCCCCAAGTGATGCAGGTATCAGACGTTTACCACTTCGGTGAAACCCACGAGCACGGGTATGGTGCTGACAAACCTAGAAACATAATCGGGGCGAACCGAGATTCGAAGCCACAATCATAGGTTTCTGGCGTGCCCAAGGGACGTAACTCTGCACAGCGAATCGCGGCGCCTTAGACGACTGGGCCACCCGTTCCCCCCATTAAGCTGTGAATATAACTGGAATACTGTAGCCCAGGTTATTCACTTACTCAAACATAAGCATAGGTTTATGAATCACTATAAAATAGTGATGATACCTGGTGTTCGCGAAAAGGTAAGCGTAACCTGCCCCACGGTTGGTACCCGTCACAAACACATGCAAAGAAAAGTCAAGTGTTCACCTAAAAAAAAACACGCGAAGTCAAAATGAGGACCGGAATTGCATCAAACAAAATGTTTGGAACTGATGCTTCAAATTATGAAATGTCCTCCATATGTGTGCCATAAATTATTTTTAATGCGATTTATGGATCTTCGAGGTAAACTTTTAAACTATAGGGATTCATAGGACTGGCAGAGATTTCTTATAATTCTTGAAAGGGTTTTTGTCGCATTAATAAGAAATTGTACAACTTCTTGAACCATACATACATACATACATACATACATACATACATACATACATACATACATACATACATACATACATACATACATACATGCATGCATGCATGCATGCATGCCTTCATGCACGCACGCACGCACGCACATACATACATACATACATACATTTCACCTCACCATATATATGTATATGATTCCAGGTGTATATGCGAGAAATTGTGTTTCTTTGTAGTTTTCGACTTTATTCTTATTTGAACATGAACTATCGTCTGTCTTCCAAAGTGCTGTTGCAGACAATCAACGGAATATTAAAGAAGGCTAAAATTGCTCGTCTCTCCAACTTTCACGTGCACATATCGTTTTCCTAGAACTTTCAGTCAGGATGACCTACCACTATTGTTTAAGCCGACTGCATCTACATTTTTTCATGCATCTGGACTAGGATCACTTTATTATTTCCCTGGGAATGGGTTTGAAACATACATGTTATTCCCGATTGGTTTTATTCATGCTTGAATCAGTGTCGGCGTCAGAATGATCAGTTCGGGAAGTCGAATGAAGTCATTGTGGCTGACAAAAAACCTCAATGTCGTTGCCTCGAAGAAGTACGACAGCGACATGATTGTTCAACCCATCTCCCCCCGAGTGAATAACCTTTTAGTTATGACAAACGTGGCGACACGGGTGTCTCATTAGCACAATATGCACCAAAGTTATCTTGGGGCGACGTAACTCGCTGTGAGTAGTGTTCTTCCTTAGCCGTGCAAGGATCCAATAATCTTGGGTTCGAATCCCGGGATCGGGTTGTCAGGCTCGGTGACTTGCTTGGTGCATGTCATCGTATCCCAATGGCGTGGATCGATGCTCATGATGTCAATCGCTGGATTATCTGGTCCAGACTCGATTATTTACAGACCGCCGTCATATAGCTGGAATATTGCTGAGTGCGGCGTTAAAGAACAAACAAACATACAAACTTAAAAGTGAAGGACGTGCGTGAATTCGGCTTTCCTATGACACCAATCCGACATGTCGTGATGTAACTGAAATACTGTTCAAAGCGGAGTTAAACCAAAGTCAATCGCCCACTCACGCTGATGGCCATTAGATTTGACAAGTGTTCTAATGTTCAGTTGTACGACTGTATATAATAAAAAATAACGTGGTATTTATGTTCTTTTCAGATTCATCTTTTTCTCAGCAACAATCTGTTAACAACAGACATACATCATAACACCAACATGGTAAGATTTGTGTCAATGGTATGATGAGATTGCATACTTCCCAGGGAGCTGAGAATGACAAAAATGGAATCTGGCTAATTAAATCTAGAATTATTTTATCATCATCATCATCATCATCATCATCATCATTGTAACCATGTCGGAACTCGAACCTTCGGCTTGACGAGCAAAGTCTGAACAACTAGGCTACCACACCGATCACACTGATGTTGAAACTCATACGAATATGTACTTAATGATATAAACTCTTTTATTGTCTGATGAAAAAAGATGCGGATTGGCTGATAAGCAGATCTCTGAATCAACATACAACGTAACCAAAACAAAGGAGTTCTTCGAAGTTGTATATGGACATAAGCCATGACGATACCATCTCATTATCTTGCAAACCATAGAAAATATAATGTTATCAATAATAAATTTTTTAAATGGTACATGTTAGTAGGAATAGACCCCAAGGAGTTTCTTGGCAAGAATTGGTCCCTAACAAGCTACGCTTGCCACAAGGGGCGCCTTAGTGGATAGGGTGGCCAGACGGGTTGACTCTACGGCATTAATAGCAATCACTGTTTTTTCTGGTCCAGACGCGATAATTTACAGGGCGACGTTATATAGATCGAATATATGAAGTGTGGCGCTAAGAAACAAACACAATATAATAATTTACATTTATAACGTGGGAGTAGCGGGTGATTTTCGTCGTGGCAGAAATAGACAATCCCTTTGTCGAAACATGTCTCTTTTCCGAGTGTGTTGTTAAACAACAACAAAAATATTTTTAAAGTAAATCGGTATAATCAAGAATCTGAGTAAGTAAAAGCCTAGGTATGTCAAGACCCTCAGCTAATATTTCATAAGGTTTTATTATGTGGGAAATTGTAAATGCTGTTAAGGATAGACTGCGTTCATGATGTTGTATAAGGACTATGATTTATTAAAAGAGGATGAACTTATAAGATGCTTGTACAAGACTACTATATCGTTTTTAGATTCAACAAAATCAGTAAACACCGGATTGTCTGGCCCGTCACTTGATATTCTGGACAAGACTTGATTGTTTACACTCCGCCGTCGTATGGCGGGACTAATGCTGTGCGGCGTCAAACTCCTTCCAAGCGCGTGACCCCTTCATTACACTCTCAGTATCATCGCTGCCACCAGTTTGGGCGCGGCCATTACAAGAATCCTGAAATTTGCCCTCTAGCCCCAAATGTAGTAACGTTTAAACTTTTGTTTATGTCTTTGGGAATGCCATCATATTTCATTTTGAAAAGGTTTACGACTGACCATGTTTTCAAGATGAATTTACTTTGTTGTTTTAATAATCAGATTGGTTCGAGATTGCAGACTAACAGAAAATCAACCAACTTCTCCCTTACATTCTTACTATATCAACAACATGATAGTTTTAATGAGACAGAAATTCAAATTGACAAAGAAAGAAAGTAATTTAGCAGCGATAAGTGTATTCGGCGTTACGACAGTCGTCACTTGTTTGTAAACATCATTCAGTTGCGAGTTGAACTCCAAGCATGGTTGTAGTCATCTATCACTGTGGGGAGTTATGACTGGTGGCAGCAATAGTATAGAGAGCTCCGCGAACGGGGTATCGCTGTGAGGAGCTTGATGCGGCGTTTTATGCGAACTGTGTGAGTGGCGGGTGCTACCGGTGGCCCATAAGGGACATGGAGTCTGTTTTTTCAATATTTTGATGTTTAACTTACTTTTATCTTAACCTTTTGCAAATTAACACAATCTGCCATACAAATATGTGATAAATCATGTATAAAAACATCCGAAAACATAGAAAATGTACTTTTGAAGTGAAATGTGAAGTGAAAATGTCAAAAACTAAAATGGAAATGTCAAAAACCAAAACGAAAAGGTCAAAAACTAAAATGAAAATGTCAAAAACACAAAACGAAAATGTCAAAAACTAAAATGAATACACAGAAAATTATTTCCACCGCGGTTTAAATATTATCACCGCGGTGGAAATAGTTTTCTGTATTTTCATTTTAGTTTTTGACATTTTCGTTTTGTGTTTTTGACATTTTCATTTTAGTTTTTGACATTTTCGTTTCGTTTTTCAGCGATTCAATATCTTCTTTACACATGATTTATCAAATATTTGTAAGACAAATCGTGTTAATTTGCGAAAGGTTACGATAAATGTAAGTGAAATATCAAAATATGGAAAAACAGACTCCATGTCCCTTATGGGCCACCGTAGAGCAGGTCATGCTTACCTTTTTTGCAAACACCTGGTGTCATGGCTTTTCAGTAATCTATTCATATAATTTTCACCGCTATTTTGCCTTTTTACGCCTCTGTTTCGGCGGATAATCGAGACTAGTTATCCTCTGGCGTTGACGTTTTATATTCACATGGTTAGCCTTTTGATTCCATGGTAACTGAGCATCTGTTGAGCGACTGATACCTAGCCCTGGATGTTATCATGGTTGCGTGAGGGAATTTGAGTTTTACACCGCGTCTAGCGATTTCAGCAATATTACAGATCCGGGCACAAAGAAATGGGCCCATGGTATCCATGTGAGGAATCAAACCCCAAATTTCGGCGAAACCAGCCAACACTTTTATCAATGCTTCCTAACTACCGTAATTTGTATCTTCAACCAGGTGTTGGCGAAAAGGGTAAGCAATAGCAAGCATGTCCTTCTCTACCGGTAGCGCGTGAAGCCTAAATCAGGATAGGCAATCTAACCCATTCCTGTCAGTCGAGCCGACAACTAAAAACCGAATCGAGTGGGCCAAATGTTCCGTCTGGCTGATAATGCGATCGCTGCTTTCACTGCTGTTTATTTTATCACGAAAATAACACAACAAACGTAAGGGAAATAGTCATTCATTGATCCAGGGGGCATATTCGCTTCACATGGTGACCATTGATATTGTTACATTTCTATCGTCAAAGGTTCATGACAATTTTCAAAAATGAAAGTTTACAGAGAAACCATATTTGAAATTCGGGGATAGGGCAGTGAAGCAAGAAGTAGCTAGGCACCCCCATGGTCCTCCATTGTGCTTTTCTTCTGGCTGACCTGTCTCTTTATGTCAGCTGCCCGGATCTGCAACATCAAAACAAGGAAATGTGGCTTAAGAAATTCAACTTAAGCGTCAGATAGCCAATTACTGTCCACTGGTTACTAACCTGAACTAGAAATAAAGGAGACAAGCGAGACTGCTTCATCTGTTTCATATATAGATACATACATAAAGATTCAGATAGACAATAAAACTTTCCAGAAGGCTGTGACAGGGATGATTTCAACTTTCCGATGGCCAACTCTCCCTTCCTACCGAGTTATTTTCAAGCAGCTCCAGCCCATGGTGTCTACGTACCTTTCCTAACTTTTGAGTTCTACCACAATGTCAAAGAGCGTCATACGACTCTTGCTCAAACGTTGTTTGATTAGGGTTACAACATTTGAGGCCTCAGTAAAGCTATCGAAATGTTTTGTTCTATACACGTGGAGGACATTTCCAAATAGAAATAGAATCAGTGACCCTATTTTGACTTGTACCATAATATGTTCTCGTGCTTTGTAAGGTGAACGATTGCCTTGCCTTTGCATGTGTTTGTGACGGACTCCATCGCCTTCTCGCGAACACCTAGTGACATTAGTACTTCACACCTAGCATTGATAGTAATTCACAAACCAATGTTCATGTTATAGTGGGAATCGTACAACAGACTGCATTTGGCAGAGATTTCTTCTTCTTTTTTATTATGGAAAATGTCTTGCCGCTTTTATTAACAATCCAGCGTGAATTTGAAAAGAGTCATGCTGGTAATGAACTAAATAACGAATTACTTGTCTCAATACTGATGATGAAGAGATTAGAATTATTAATATTGTTCAGTTTTATTATAACGGAGAGACTTTGTGAACTTTGTGAACAGGGGTTGCCATCGAACATGGGTCTATAGCAGTTACGTAGTGTGCGTGAACTATGTTGTTGTTTTGGTTACATTCTTACAGTACTTTACCGTGGGACCCTAAATACAAATAAACTGTCATTGTCAAATCGTCCATTTACGTCAGTGTGTAAATATCCTAAATATTTCGTGCAATATGTCACCTCATTTGCTTGCTGATATTTGAAACCCTGCCACAATTAACTGATTATATGTACACTGATGTTTGAAACCTAGAAATTAGCAACTCATTATCTGTGCACTGACATTTGAAACCCTGCCACAGTTAACTGATTATCTGTACACTGACATTTACCACCTAGCCACAATAAACTGATTATCTGTACACTGATATTTAACACCTAGCCACAACTGATTATCTGTACACTGATATTTAACACCTAGCCACAATTAACTGATTATCTGTACACTGATATTTAACACCTAGCCACAACTGATTATCTGTTCACTGATATTTAACACCTAGCCACAATTAACTGATTATCTGTACACTGACAATTAACACCTAGCCACAATTAACTGATTATCTGTACACTGATAGTTAACACCTAGTCACAATTAACTGATTATCTGTACACTGACATTTAACACCTAGCCACAATTAACTGATTATCTGTACACTGACATTTAACACCTAGCCACAATTAACTGATTATCTGTACACTGACATTTAACACCTAGCCACAACTAACTGATTTTCTGTACACTGATATTTAACACCTAGCCACTACTGATTATCTGTACACTGATATTTAACACCTAGCCACAACTGATTATCTGTACACGGATATTTAACACCTAGCCACAATTAACTGATTATCTGTACACTGACATTTAACACCTAGCCACAATTAACTTATTATCTGTACACTGATAGTTAACACCTAGCCACAATTAACTGATTATCTGTACACTGACATTTAACACCTAGCCACAATTAACTGATTATCTGTACACTGACATTTAACACCTAGCCACAATTAACTGATTATCTGTACACTGACATTTAACACCTAGCCACAACTAACTGATTTTCTGTACACTGATATTTAACACCTAGCCACTACTGATAATCTGTACACTGATATTTCACAGCTAGCCACAATTAACTGATTATCTGCACAGTCATACTTAAAACCAAGTCAATTAATTAATTTATACCTGTACAATGCTATTTGAAACCTAGCTATAAATAACTGATCGCATGTTCACCGATGTTTGAAACCGAGCTGAAATTAACTAATTATCTGTACACTGATATTTAACACCTAGCCACAATTAACTGAATATCTGTACACCGACAGTAAGTAACTTATAATCTGTAATGTGAAACTGATATGGTTCAACATGTGATTGTTATCAAAACTGTTACATCCTTAGTCACATGCACAGACAAGCCAATTTAAAAGGACCACCTCCGTGGTCTAGTGGTAGAGCGTCCGCCCGGAGAGTGGAAGGTCCGGGGTTCGATCCCCGGCCGCGTCATACCAAAAGACGTTAAAAGATGGCACTTGTTGTTACCCTGTCTGGCGCTCGGCATTAAGGGGCTAAAACAAGGACTGGTCAGCTCGGAATCAGTATACTGTGTCTGAGTGGGGTATTCATGTTAAACTGCGGCATAGTATCTCAGTGAGCTAGCACTATAAATCGGCATCAGTCCGGACTAGTACAAGCAGCCACACATACACACACACGTACATGCAAGTCGCTGTATAAGTGCAATAATCTTGGACGCGACGTTAAACCACATTTCACCTCAACTCACCAATTTAAAAGCCATTTCCTTATTCAAATTAACACATCCTGTATGTGTTAGGGCAAATGTGCCCTAAATGTCAGCACCGTATTGTGCATTTCACAAGCGTCCACGCAATCTGTATGCACGGTATCGGCCTGGAATCATGTTCACTCTAACCACGTTGAGATGAACCAGGTGATCAAAGCCCTGCAATTTATGCTTCATTTTTGCAAATCTATTCGAAAGCTGTCAAGAGCCAAGAGAAGGGTTCGAGAGACTAAACGTTAAACGAGCGTCTCTATGACCTTTATTTACATCTGTAGCAAATTGTAGAAAAAACGGTCCGTGGGATGAGAAAGTATAAATGTCAAATTATTTTTTTATGTTTTGATATTTCCATGAAATATGACGTGAAAATTTATAGTATTTCCATAGGAACTCACGACTTCCACTGGTGACCGCTGTGACCAAGGCTGGCTGGAAAACAATTTGTGTTTTTCTTTTCGTAAATGTGATTATAAGGCTCGGTGGTAAGGCCCACAAAAAATATGTTTCTGTTTTTTAGGTTTGGCCTAAAATGAAGCGACGGCGCGACGGTTTTTTTGGTCAGTTGCTTGATTTGCAAACGTAGTTGTCTCCAGCGTTGAAATTTCCTTTTCGCACAAATTCATAAAAGCTCAGTAGAAGAATGCCTAAGCCGCATTTGACAAACCCAAAAGGCATCATGATCTCCCCGTCCCCCTCAACACATACAGAACTGGCACAGAAATGACATGCATTGTACATCATTTGCAGTTTTTACATTTTGGGGAAAGCAGGTTAGAGTTACCAGCCCTTCGTTAAATATCAGGACATTATACACGCTCGACACGAGTGTTGAACATGACTTGCCTAATACAAAACTCTTTAACTGGAATTATTTCTCCATCCTAACGTTTAAGGTCACTTGGTCCGTATGTCAGGAGATACAAAATATAACGTCCGACGTAACCTAAAGCCAAATCTTTTCATATTTACTCGTAGCGTGATCAAAATATCCGAGAAACGCTGGGGACATGTCTTAGCCTAAATCATAACCAGTGCCATTTATTTAAGTCTGAAGGATGATTTCCCGATGCGGTTTTATCCCAGAAACACTGCTGATGGTTTGGTTGAGTTGCAAGCAGTGTAGTCATTGGTCAGTTTGACCAAACTTCATCAAGATGGGTTTACTGTTCCATATCTATGTAAAGGGGTTCATTGGTTTAAATACATTGTTTAATAAACTAAACTAACTGTAAGACGGTGTTGACATACAAACTCATCTTTTTCAGAAGTTCACAATCGCCCTTCTGTTGATTCTGCCCATGGTTATCATAGCAATGGTGGATGCAAACCGAATGAGCTGTGTCATCTGTCAGAGTAAATGCGCCATCAGCGCGTGTGTTGAAATTAACAAATGCGTCGACGGAAGAGGAAATGACTGTAAGAACTATATCAACAGAGCCTCTGTGCCCCCTTGCGTCGGGAAGGAGCTGACAAAAAGACGCAAGTGTCTCGATGATTGCCAGTGTTAAGTTTCAAAAGAGAAAAGTAAACATGACTGTCTTTATTGTTTCTTGTTTATTTTATACAAAACGTAGTTCGTCTGGTGATGCTGAAAAACTTCATCCTTGTGTCATGTTTTGTTTCTGAAGCATTACTCATTAACAGATCAATATTTCTCCCAAGGAACTCATCACGCAATTACTACACCGATAACCGTTGCTATTCGGGAAGACAGGGATTTTTAAAAAAAAAAATTCTGTTTTGCATTTCCATAACAACACGTTGGACTTGGGTACCGTTAATTTCCGGAGCATACTCAGAAACTTATTGAAAAATGGGAGAAGATGTCACCTGTGTTAGGTCAAAAACATTGACTGGCAGTTTGGCATTTTGTATCGGCACACAGGCAAGGCAAGTTCATCAAGTTCATGTTGTCGTTTTACTTTCTCAAGTTCAGCAGGTTGCCTTTCACTTAGTCTTTTCGTTCTTTCTTTGTTGTTTAACGCCACACTTAGCAATATTCTAGCTATATGACGGCGGTGTGAAAACTAATCGAGTCTGGACCAGACAATCCAGGGACATTGTGAGCATCGATACACGCAATTGGGATATGATGAAATGCAACAACCAAGTCAGCGAGCCTGATCACATGACCACCCGATCCCGTTAGTCGCCTCCAACGACAAGCATAGTCGCCTTTTATGGCCAGCATGGGTTGGTGAAGACCTATTCTACCCCGGATCTTCACTTAGTCTGGGCAAGACGAACGAAATTATTTCATCAAGTCCATGATACATGTTAACTGCATAGTCAGACAAAAGGCAGGTGGTCGTCCGCGTTCGAAAACCGGACAGGGCATCCGTCTTGCGAGCGCAGAGTGTTTCACCGGGCACATCACTGTCATCATGTAAAACTTCACAATTAGGCAAAGACATACACTATACGCCTCGTGGGACCATGGAAAATGGAAGACGTTACTGGCAGTTTGGCATTTTGTATCTACATACAGGCAAGGCTGGCACACAAATTATCATCAAAGCATCAATGTCAGTTCTGGTTATGGCGCCAAAACATGGCCGTCATTGGCAATAAAATATTAAAGTCGCAGTGCAAAGGCACAGCTCATCAGTCATCATCTGCGCATTCTATTTGTCTGTTTTGTCATGTGACTGGTCACGTAATGTCATTGTCATCCCCAGTTACTGTAGCAACACGAACAAATGGGATGGATCTAACCAGGTGGCAGGGACACTTTGTGAATCAACTATCATTACAACACCAGAAACACATTTGCTTCTCAAATGCAAGTCTAGCAAATAACGTCACAAATAGTGCTTCCAAACATGATCTGCAAGGATAGTGACTGTGGCGTCATATGATTTCACTGGCAGGGTAGATCACCTTTGGAAGGGATTGATCCAGGTGGGACCTATGTCACGCACATCACTAGACCCATAACCTAATGGTTTAGAGTTCACAATGCCTTCAATACTGTTTACAAACAAGTTCAGTGACCGATTGGTCGCCCGAAAGGTACCTGGGCCCATGCTTGATATATTTAATCTCCAGTTCCCACGCTCTACCGAAATCTGGAGCACTTGATGGATTAAACTGAAAGTAGATTTGTTTTCTTTTGCAAGCTGTCGATTCAGTAAAGGAGTCATTGCAGACCATGCTTCTTCAAGCTCTCTCTCTGACCACCCGAAAATGTGTACCTCTTTCACATAAACTTTCATAAGGCTTGCCACGTCTTAGTATGAAGCGTCTTAGTGACATCAAAAATTAATCAGTGTCCATTTTGTCCTAAGTCAAGATAAACAGCCCTTGCTGTCATACATGTGCAACAAATGCCCATCTCTTCTCTAATCTCCGAGCAGCATTCACAGTCGGAGGGCAAAAACAGTCTATTCCAGTTGAATAAAAGAATAAAAAGCTGGATTGAATATTCGAAGTTGTGCTGGTGGCAAATCGGCCACCTTAGGAGCATCTGGTTTGGCCCTCAGTTTTGCACTTGCGTTGATACTTACGAATTGCCTCCTCTCCATATATGAACCAGAGTGTCCTCATTTCCGCAAGCATCCGTTCAGGGCCATAGTGTTTAAGTCTTTCATCGTACTTCTTTATAAGATGTTGGGTCATGGCATGCTTTGGATCCAACACTGCAGAGTGTTTCGAGTCACCAGGTAGGTCTTCTTATCTCTGAAATCTTTCGCCTACACGGATAACTTTGTGGGTTGAATCATAAAAAGGATCAAGCTTCAACAACCTACTACTGGAAGGAAAGTGGTTCCCAAAATCTAATGCAGTAAACTCATCTTGAAAGCAATGTCGCTGAGCAAGGCTGTAGAGATGCATTTCAGTTTGCGTTCTGGAATCGGCATCATCAGCTACCCAATGAAGCACCTGCATAGTTTGGGTGATGAGGTCGTTCCAAAATGGACAATTCTTTGGATCAACAGGTAGATAAACTTTCAATGCTGACAGCAAGCACCTTGTTTTCATTTCACTTTAATCTGGCTGAATTTCAGTCAGTCACTGGTCAGGTGATAGATTAAAGAAGGTTGGACCATTTGTCCATCGGAACTGATAATCACTTATATCAATCAATTCTGTGACTTTCACGTTGTCATGAAGCTGTGCCCCAGAGACCAAGGTGTCATAATATAAAACAAGAATACAGTTCACAGGTTTATTATTATCAGCTAGTTGTAAGTATTCATGACAGTAAAAATGAGAAAAAAAAACAATTTACGCTGACAACAGTCACTGGTTAATTAAACCAGAACATATATACAAGCCGATTAGCTAAGCAACTGTAAAACAATAGGGTAGCTAAACCAACACTTTGACAAGATGATGACAAGTTGCACATTACTTTTGTGCCCACTATATAATGATGTGAGAACAGATCTTCTTAAACGATGTACTTTTACTGATCCGTATTTCAAAGGCTATTCCTACTGTGAGCAATTTACACTACTTCTATCCAGCTCCGATCTCACCTTTTACGTGGCCAAAACCTGCTATGATATTTTATTGAAGCGCCGATCTATTTTATATTCATGATGTATATATTGTATGTATATTCATTTTAGTATATAAGTTGGTTTTATGATCATATCGTCTCTCATAAGTCGTTTTACGACTGGCCGTAAGTTTTAAGCATGTTTTGATTTATATGTATACTGTACAATGTACCTTATGGGTGACACGCAAATAAATTATTGTCTTGTCTTGTCTTGTCTAGACAGCCAATAAGGTCAGCTGCAACCAATAATTAGCTCAACAATCTAATGAGTGAATAACCTGGGTTAATAATCGCCTAGGTTATGTAGTGGGAAATAACCACAGAGGGCCCTTCCCTAAAATAAATCATTTGGACAATAAAATAGACGTAAAACGCCTTAATAGCAAACTAGTCTTTTAGACTAAAGACTCAGTCACCTTGACTGGGCAAGGAAATTCTAAACTTCCCCCAAATACAAGGTACTTGACCATAGGAGTATCCACCCTGACAATCATTAAAAAGGTACTTGACTAAACGAGTAACTTGACTCCCAATAGTAAATTAATCCGTGACCTAAACTACATGTGAGGTGTGGTGAGGTGAAATGGGGTTTAACGTCGCGTCCAAGATTATTGCACTTATTTAGCGACGTGCATGCACGTGTGTGTGTGTGTGGCTGCTTGTACTAGTCCGGACTGATACCGATTTATAGTGCTAGCTCACTGAGATACCATGCCGCAGTTTAACATGAATACCTCACTAAGACACAGTATACTGACTCCGATCCGACCAGTCCTTGTTTTAGCCCCTTAATGCCGAGCGCCAGACAGGGTGACAACAAGTACCATATTTTAACGTCTTTTGGTATGACGCGGCCGGGGATCGAACCCCGGACCTTCCGCTCTCCGGGCGGACGCTCTACCACAAGACCACGGAGGCGGTCCTAAACTACATGTAGGCAATCCCAGAAAAGTTGTATGAAAAATCTTAGCTAATCAGTATAGCTCAATAAAACCAGAGTAAGTCATAACTAGATTAAAACTGCCACGTAGTTTCTTACGATGAAACCTGAGTCTTAAATGACCACCCAGTACCATGACGACCCGTTAACATACGCTATCCAGCGGTACCACTAAATATTTACAACCAGGTATGTAAAATTATTGAGGTGTTAAAGACTGCCCTAAATACAGGAGAAATATCTACCGGTACCAGATAATCGCGCTCCAGCATGAAAATCAAAGTTATACAAACATTTTCAAAGCGTGAATATGTTTGCATACATATACATATAAAATTTACGGGTCACTAATTCTCTAACAAAGAACGTGAAGACACCCGAGTACGGCGACCGCCAGAGTTTGCCGAACGGTTACCACGCGGAGCATTTAAGACAGACAGACAGACAGACAGACAGACAGATAATTTATTAAAGTCTCACCTCGTTTGCTACAAATACTAAAATATTTACAAGGTATAACAATATGAAGGTGTAGCACGAGCCACTCTAAGCAGAGTTTTGAGAGACTAAGAGAGAGGGAAGCGGTGCGGTCACTAGACCACGATTAGACTGGTTCTTAAACCCAGTGACACACGTCATCTTCAGGATTGGATGCAGTGTTGATGTAACACCACGGAGAGGATTCAGTAAGGGCCTGTATCTCAGCAACATGTGTTGCCACAAACACATTATATACGGCAAGAATCAGATTTGATCCATGTCAATACGGCTGTTAAATAACTCCAAAGCATGATTCTGTGGATTGGCAATGTAGGGTCACTTGATAATACATCTGACATAACTGGGGTATGGACAACTGGCGCTTAGGTGTGACACCTTGCGCAAAAGAAGCTGGCCCATTGTCAAACATGGAGATCATTCATCATCCAACAGATTCTCAATATCATGAAGCAAAGTTGGCACACTGTGAAGGCAGTTGTCGACATAGAAAAGCCCCAATCACAGACCTCTCATTATGTTCTCTCCTAGACCTGTGATCCTTTACAAGCCTTTGAAAAACATTAGCAGCGCATTGTGGAGTGTATGTTGATCCAAA